ACACACACACACACACACACACACACAGTCCTGCACTCGACAAGAAGACTCGTTCACAGCAGGAACTACAGCGATGACTATATTAGTGTCCACCATAACGTTGTTTATTATATGCCTGCTGTCACTTTAAATGCTTGTGCTCTTTAAAGCAGGATGGATTCTGATTGGCTGTCAATGTTTTAATCATTCATCAGCCGGAAATCGATTCCAATAATTGCCAGTCTAATAGGAATTGATTCATTTGGGTTCTGCAAATAGATTTTGCTCATTTTCAAGGTTGTAGCTAGAAGGGATACAGCTAAAACCGGAAGCTAACAATAAATAACATTTTCTACCTATTAGATTGTGTTTTATTAACGTTTACACCTACCCCAACCCTAAACCTACCCTTACAATAATGCAAAAACAGTCATTATTGTCATACATTGTGACAAAAATTATGTTATATTTATGTGCGCATGCCTAGTAGCCGCAGCTGTATCCCTTCTAGCCTTAACCCTTTTTCAAGTTGCTCATGCGAGTTTACATCATTGAACAACAAAACAACTCTGTCGTCATCATTATTGTTGTAGTCTGGACTTGATATTCTCTTAGAGTTTTTTTTATTTGTTTATTCTAAGCACGCTGCAGTTTTGTGATTCTGATTGGCTGTCAGTGTTTTTATCATTCATCAGCTGGAAACAAATTGCTCTGAAAGTGATTTCAACGATATTGTTTAGGTGCTGTATCTTTGCGAAGTTTTGTCATTCTAAAATGAATTTATGCAATCTCGAATTTCGCACTGGGGTAAAACACTTCCGCACACAGATTTCGCTCATTTTCAAATTGAGCAAGTCAAGATGAATTTACTGTACAAGTGAAATGACTTAAGATATTATGTTTTGTTTTCAGTAAAAAATATTAAAATTCTGTTAGAAAAAGCAAAAATATCTGCCAAAGGGGCAAGAAAAATAATCTTGTTTAGCCTTTGAATTAAGATTATTTTTCTTGCCCCATTGGCAGATATTTCTGCTTATTTTAACAATTTTGAATATTTTTTTAGAAAACAAGACTTAATATTTGTAATAATTTCACTCGTACAGTAAATGCATCTTGAGTCAAGAATGTTTAGATATTTATACTAGAACACAAGACACAAACACTAAGCAAGAGAATCATTTTTGCGGTGTTTGTGTTGTGTGGACGTGTAGTTTGGATTGGTAAATCTTTATATGTATCGTTATGTTATCAGCACTGGTGTGAACGAGTCTTAAGACGCACTCGAGTTATTTCTGAGCTCTGGTATGATGTTGTTAAATGTTCTGCTGCCATGTGTCGTTACATTAATTCAGTAATAAATTATCTGTGTGTGTGAGAGAATTACATTTCAGCCAAATAACACGGTTTTGTCATTTGTCTCCAGATTCGTTCGTGGCTCTCAATGGTGAGTACAGCTCTTCTTCTCTCTCTCTCTCATCGTTATCGGACTCTCTGTTGGCGAATGTTTCATTTCTCTGACTGCGTTTTCTTGTAGAGCATCAGCGCAGGCAGCAGGGTGTGAGCGATATTACCCAGAATGCTGCGCGCGGTCAGTGTCTCCAGTGTTTCCCGTGTGTAGATGTAGTTAGAGACGCTCTGACCTTTCATTCCCTAATTGGATGGATCTCTTCGCTTCATAGAGCAAAGGATTGTGGGTTAGAGACAGTCGAATGCAAATGACTGTTTACAGAGAATAAACACTCAGGGCTTCTCCCAAGACCAGCAGAAATTATTCATGAAATACAATCAGGTTAAAAAAACACACACACATGATTGACAGCCCTCCCCCGGCAGCCAGAGTGAATCTGATTGGCTGAAGCAGCAATTGTGACCTACATATCACATGCGCTGGTGTTTATTAGCCATCTTCTCCTGAGCTTCATTAGTTCTGTGTGTGAATGTGTTTGATGTTGTTTTCTCTCCGTTTCCTTCATAAACCGCTCATACATGTGTCTGTTTAGCTTTATAAGCACAGATTCCTCCGTCTGCTGTCTCACTGAGAGCTAGTTTTCTCTCGGCTTTCCTCTCGTATGTGTGTCATCGTCCTCGCCGGCTCTTCCTCTGGCTGTGGAAAATGAATTATAAAATAGAGCTGTCACACTAATCTCGCGGCCCATGGCGTTTCTTAAATAAATCATGTTAATGACTGCGACTGGGAGACGATAAACAACGGCCACCGGCACAGAGAGAGTTTATCTGTGGATTAAACTGAGTTAAACTAGTCCAGCGGTCCACACACTTCATCAGCCAAACCCCTCTGACCTAAAAGATTTTAGTTCATATTTCAAGAATTTAACAACATATTTGCATGCCAGTTAGTGGTCCAAATAAACCAAATATTGTATGTGTATGGCATTCACAGTGATGCCATAGAAGAACCTTTTTGTCTAAATGCTTCCATAAAGAAGCTTTAACATCTGTTTCACAAAAGCTTCTTTGTGGCGAAAGAAGGTTCTTCAGATTATAAAAAGCTAAGAAAGAGATGTTCTTTGACTGAAATGGTTCTTCTATGGCATCGCTGTGAAGAACCTTTTAAGCACCTTTATTTTTAAGAGCGTAGTTCATTTTCAGGTCAACTGGTCATACACGAGTTTAACATAATGGAGTTTATTCTGCCCCAGTGACAGCTTTTGTACCTTTTTTTCTGAGAGTGTATGAGCAGCTTACTGTAAATTACTCTGCTAATTATCAGCAGATGAATCCATCAGTGGAGGTGAAATAGTGATTGGAGTGTGAGTGATGTGAGAGATGTGTGTGTTGTGTCTCAGAGAGATGTTGATGTGTGCTGTGCTCCAGCAGGCCTCCTCACCACCGTCCCTCCTCTGGCCCCCGGGGGCCCGCTGCTCCGGGGCCGCATGGTCAAGCCGAAGGAGGCCGTTCCCTCAGAGACGCAGCAGGAGAGCGCCGGTAAGCCTGGGAACGATCGTCCTGTGGAGGAAACCAGCTGCTTCCAGCGTCTGCAGCGTCCGATCCGCCGAGACGCACGCCACACACCAAACCCTCGCAGACTCAGATACAGTTCACAACTCGGTCTAATCTTTACATGGATGCATCTGGCAGATCATGCTTTTATCCAAAGCGACTTAATTTGCATTTAAGGTTCACATTTGATCAGTTCATGCATTCACTGGGAATCAAATTCATGACCTTGGCATTGAGTTACTGTTTGAGATAGAGGGACTATGTTGTATTTCCCTCAGTATTTCTAAATTACAGCATCAGTCTCTCATGAGCATGACTGTATTTGTGTTTGATGTGAAACTGAAGGTTAGTGTAGAGCGTGTAGTGTTGTGCAAGTAGTGTTGGGTTAATATAAGTGAGATACTATTGTCGTTTTTATTTTTATATTTTTGTTCAAATTTTAGTCATTTTTGGTTTCTGACATTTTTGTTTTTTATTTTTATTTTATTTATATTTATTTATAGTTTTTAATGTCTATATAGTATAAATATATAGGCATATTAAAAAATTGTTTTATATATATATATATATATATATATTAGTGCTGTCAAACGATTAATCGCGATTAATCTTTTG